AATACTTTTAAATAATAAAAATAATCATAAGTTATAAAATTAAAACTTATTTATATCACATTTTATCTTATTTACAATCATTAACAAAATAATCTTACAAGTAAGTATAAAAATAATTTTATAAAAATATATTTAAAATAAAGATAATATCATAATTTAGTTATAATTCTTTAATTAGTTATTATAATTAATTATAATTCTCTGATTAAATATTATAAATTATAATTAATTAAGATAATATTTTTAATTTAAAGATATAAAAAAGATATTTATAATTTAAAAAATTTTAGTTAATATTTATTAAATAAATATTAATTAAAAAATAATTTAATTTTGATAAATTTCATAATAAAATATAAAAAATATAATAAAAATATTATTTTTATTATATTTTATTATGAAATTTATCAAAATTAAGTCTTTTTTGACTAATATTTATTTAATAAATATTAATTAAAATTTTTTTTAAATTATAAATATATTTTCTATATCTTTAAATATATTTTTATAAAATTATTTTCATACTTACTTATAAAAAATTTTTTATAACTTCTTAATCAAAATAATCTTTAGCTTATTATATTTAATATGTAATTTTACAAAATATTACTATATTAATATATTTTGTAATCTTAAAAAATATTATTTCCATTAATTTAAAGAATATAATATTAAATTTTATAAATTTTTATTAAGTTATAGATGAAAAATATGATTATTATTACTTTTTATATTAACTATAATAATTATTTTTTATTAATTTTTATTTAATTTTAAAAAATAATTAAGTTTTTTTATTATTAATTATATATTAATAAATTTAACTTTTTGATTTTATAATTATAAAAAATAAAAATAATTAAAAATATAAATATCAAATAATTTCAATTAATAAAAAATCTATTTTTTTAATTTTAATATTATATTTTTATTTTTTATTATTAAAAAATTTGATTTTAATAATTAATAATTAATAATTATTATTTATCAAAAATTTATTAAATAAAAATATATTTTATATTAAAATTTTATAATATTTATTATTATTAAAATTATTTAAAAATTAAAATTAATAAATTTTATTTTTTAATATAAAATACTAAAAAAAAATTTAATTAAAAATCAAAATTTAAATATTATTTAAAATTTTAAAATTTAATTTTATTTTAATTATATTTTTATAAAATATTATTAAATTATATTATTTTTTTAATTTTAATAAGAAAAAAGAATTTTAATATCAAATAATTATATAAATTATAATTATATTTATTATTATATTAAAATTAATATTTGAATTTTTTAAATACTTGAACTAGATTTAAGTTCAAATATTCAAATAAAATTAAGTTAAATATTGAGTATTAATAATAATATATTTTAATATTTTATATAATTTGAATAAATTTTTAAATATTTGAATAAATATTTAAAATATTTTGAATTAAATTTAAAATATTTTATTTTAAATATCAATCTTAATTAATAATATTTATTATTAATAATATATAGAAAGCTGAAAAGTTTTATATGTGAATATTTATTTTCAAAATTATTATAATAATTATTAATATAATTATTTTATTTCTTTAAAGTACCCTTTATTAAATTTTATATAATATTCTAATTAATTTTAAAAAGAGTTCTTATAATTCTTTTTTGAAATATCTTTAATAATTACTTAAATAGCTCTTGTCAAATTTTTAATTTTATTAAATCTCTTTCTCTTTAGTTCTTTTTTATTTAAGAGAATAAGAAAAAATTATAAAAAGCAAGATCTAGACTATATAATAGATAAAGAAGTTTTACTTACTTGTTATAAAAATATTTTATTATGATTCTTGTCTTATGTGTTATAGTATTATTATAATGAAGTATGATATTACAAATAATTATTTTATCTCTTTTTTTTATAAAGTTTAATTAATATAAAAATTAATATTAATTATTTGTCTTTTTGGAATTATAAATCATTGTAATAATTCTATTTACAGAAAAAAATATGCAAAATATTCTTTTTTTCAAATTTTGAGCTGTTTTTACTATTTATAGCCTATTCTCATCCTTTTCTAGTTATGACTTATTTACTTTTTTATTTATCTATATTTTATTACTAGTAATAATATTTTATATCTTTTATTTAAAATTTTTAATAATTACTTGAAAATTTCAACACAATTTTATTTATATTCTTCTGAAAGTCTATAAGAAATTCATTTTGCACAAAGTTTATGAAAACTCAGCTCTTTATGTAAAATGTAAGAAATTTTTTTACAAGAAATATCAACTTTATTAACTAATTCTTTAATAGAAATATATGAATCATTGCTAAAAAGATCCTTGATCCTGGCAATTTTTTCTGATCACTACTTTACAAGAACATTCAGAATGAATCCTGTCTTTAATTTCTTTCTTATCTTTGAATATAACAATTCAGCATCTAATTATGTTGATAGATAATACTTATTCCTCTTTTACATTCACCAACTCTTCATGAATTTGAATTGCATTTCTGCTATTTTTTCAAGAAGCAAAAATAAAGTATTGTTGATTTTCACAGCTCATTTTCTTCCAGTTGTTTTATTATGCTTGACAAAAAAATTGGTTTCTTAACAATGAGATAATAAATTTGCTTCTACTTTTTTTTTATTTGTTACATGAAAGCATGCGCATTTGATGATTATTTCCGATTTTAGTTAAACTGATGCAATCTCGAGTTAGAGCCACACGCAAAACTTTTCAGCCCCTTCCCTTCCCCCAACGTAATATTCAAGTTAACCGGATCAATTAATATTTTATAAAAGATTTGCTTCAAAATTATTATTTTCAAAGACAAAATTTTATTTCCAGAAAAAAAGAATATAAATTACATGAAAAAATCATTCACGATCACATAATTCTTATAACACTCTCAACAAATGGATCCAATAATTTCGGCAAGACTTTTAACTCAGGCATTGGAGGCAACTTATACCTGCCATACCCATGATCCAATGAATGAGACGATGACGATTCATCATCAATTGTAGATCCGCTACTTGAAGATCCACTACTTGAAAATCCACTACTTGAAGAACTCGTTTCAAAGTCATCTTTGCCCTTTCTGTCTTCATCTTCATCTTCATCCTCATCCTCACCGTCATTATCTTCTAAAAGCTCGAATTCTTCTAAATCTCCATTTATACCAATGTTTTTCAATTCATTACTTACATTTCCAACTCCATCACCAAGATAATTTGCGTCACCAGAAAGAAAACCTTTCAAATGTGTTAAATGTCGCCGTTTTCTTAACGAGTGCCAATCCATTAAATTCTTTAAATCAATGAAAAGTTGTGCATGTTCTTCATTTGTTAGATGTGTGCTTATTAGAAGATCGAGGTCTAGATTCTCTTTGAAACCGGCGCGTAAGAAGTCAATTATTCCTTGCATCCAATCTAATAATGATGTGAATAGGTTGCTAGAGTCTAAAGCGTATATAGAATGAACATACGTATAGAATGGTTGCATGTGCCGATGCACTAACGAAATGAATACTTGGAGGATTGAAGATGTTGTATCCGTTTGATTGGTTGTTTCTTAAGTATATGAGTAAAATTAATTGACGTGTTAGATCGTTTCTTTAATTATAAAAGCAATTAATGGGACAAGATTACCTTTATTCTCGGCTTGTTCAACGACTTTGATCAAGTCATCAACAAAATTAGATAAATCTGGTAATGAATCACCAATATTTGCAGACTAAAAATGAAGTCATTGTTAAAAACCGAACCAAAACAAAACTAATAAAGGATCTACAAGACCGACCTTATAAACTCGAGCCAAAGGCTCATAAAATATGCTAACGATATCACGTAAAAGATTTCCGGTAACTCCCTAAAACCAATCATTTATTTGATTAATAAAACTTCAATCACGATAAATAAACCGTCTTAGCATTCACGAAATAAAAATACCTGAAAAAGTAAATCAATCATCATTTCCTTATCTCTTTTTCTAATATACAACAACATTAACTTTTTCAAAATATTTTGTTTACTATGCCCGAATTCTCCTTGTTTGTCAAGACTCTGGAACGCGTCGATAAACTTGTCAATTCGTTCTGATGAGATTTGCGGTTCAAATGATTGAGATCCTAAAATTGTGCGAATTAACAGTATTATATCTGCATGCACAGAATATTATTTAAATTAATATTTAGAAGCGTTGTTACAAAAGTTGATATTTCGTTGATTGCTTATTATGTACCTTTATTTTCTTTTCCTGCTTCTTCCCTTATGGCTGATTGAATTGCCTGAGGAGCATACACGTAATTTTGAATCTTTTGACAAATTTCTGGATGAATATTGAATTTTATCTGCAATGTAGCGACATCTTTTTCAATTTCTTTAATTTCTTCGCTTAAATTCATCGATATCATTCTAAAAATAGTAAAGAATAAATAGTAAACAAATAAATTATAATGATTCTAAATAACAATCTTTCAAACTGATTTTACCTCTGCAACAAACTTTTACCTCCAAAAGGTTGTGCTAAGAATAAATTCAACATAGCTTTCATTAACATTAATGGATTGGATATTTTAAGGATTCCTCGGAGTGTTTTGTATGGCATATGACCGTGTATGCGTTTTAACTGAGCGAAATTCTCACTGCTGCTATCTGATCCAATGAATAGATAATATAATGTCGATGCATAACTGAAATTTTATAACAAATTATTAGTTTATTAAATGTGAATTTCTTTAGAATTAATCAAATTTATTACTTGCTTTATCTCGCCCAGTTCAATAAGTTTTTGGTATGACCACGGTAAGTCAGTAATTAAAGATGTTTTTTTGATTGTAGTGGCCAGATTTGAAAGTCCACCTATTACGAGAGAAAAACGGCTAAGCTTTCACAACTAAAAAATTATTATTATTTATTATTGTTAAAAAAACAAAAATCATACAAACCTTGCTCCAATAATTCCTTCTTAAAGTTTTCAACTTCCTGATCTAACTCTTTCGCACGCTTCCCCGCCTCAAAATTAAATCTTCGTTGTTGTTCCGCCTTTTTATCATCAAGTTTTCTTCTCTCCTCTATATCTTTCAATTCTTCGTCGGTCAATTTAATAGGACTGCTTGTGAGAAATCCGCGTAATGTCTTACTTTTTGCTATTACGCGTATTGATAATAATGATCGTAAATACGCGCGTAAATTGAGTCGATTATTTTCACATGTTTTTGCTAGTTTTGGATCTTTTATTTTAGTTGGTACCGATGGAATTTCCATATCGGGGAATTCACCTTTTAACTGCAATATTATCATGTGATTGTTTAATAAGACATTTAATTTAGATCGTATAAATTTTCGGGTATTACCTTCGAGTATAATGCACGAAATTGTTTGTATCGCCGAGCTACAATAATGGGCGCATCATCTGTCGAACGTTTTGTAAGTATTACATATTCCTACATACGAAAAGAACGAAAGAGTTAGTAAATAAGTAATGTTCATATAAGTATATTGTGATACAAGAAAAGATGTCAATACGCACTGCATGGGAATGCTCCCTAAAATGACGTTTCGAGGTTACAGTTTTTACTGCAATAATATTAAATTCCCATCCATTAGCTAAATAGTTTCTCAAACAGTTATTTTCCGCATGTTCAATATCATTTTGTTGCTGTTCACTTTCATTTATTTCCTCTTGCATTATAATTTCCTCTTCTTCGCCCTCAAAAGAATCCACGGTAATAGCTTGATCTTTTCCTGCGGTGGTTTTACAAGCGGCATTCAACAGCAGGGTCAAATGCATGATAATTTTATTCGCCAAGCGTCGTCGTTTCGTAGCCTCATTTCTTGTCGATGATCCGCTGATATTCTTTTTTTGAAATTCTTTAATGAACTCGAAGCATTTCTCCCAAAAATCTTTTTCGGTATTAGTGAGGAATGGAAAAGTGCGAATGAATTTGAAGAATATGAATTGAAGAAATGGAATTTGTGTGGATTGTGATTGTGTTACTTCTTTATTGAAATTATCAATAGTTGCTGCAATCTCTTCCGTTTGCAGTTGTTTAGAAAATATTTCAACCTCTTTTGCTATTTGTCGAGATATTAATTCTTTTTTTAGATAATGGGCTTGAAGTGGTGATAATTGAGAATTTGATTGTGTTTCTGTTGGTCTTGAATTATCCATTTTTAGTAACTGAGGTGCCTAGTTCATACATGTGGTATTAAAATAAATATGGAATCTTATAAGCAAAAAAAAAAATCGTACCATTAAAATCATTACAAACCATTGGCTGTTAATTATTTATTACTAATAACTTTTTTAATACAATAATACAATAATTGCCCACTTGCCATTTGGGAAAGTCATGTATTTATGGATTTATTTCATTGATCGACAAATTTTTCAATTATCGATAAGAAAATGGTGGTTATATTCATGTGTAAGTCTCAATCAACCAAAAGCCGAAGGAACAAGGCCATTTTCTTTAATTGGTTAGTAATGATGTAAACATGACACCCACCGCTATTTATAACGATAAAGGATCGTCTGTTCTTTCTATATGTAGGTGATGTAATTATTTCTTTATATTTATATGTTATTTTGTAATTTCGCTTCTGAGGGTAACGGGTAAGAGTAGAAAAATTGGTTTTTTTCTCGGCTGATGCCAACGAAATTCTTAATTCTCAAAACGCAGACGAAATCAAGCCACATTTTTCTCGTATAATTGACTACAAAAAATCATCAGACTTTTTAGTATAATAGAAAAATTCTCACGGTCATGTACTTTTCGAAATTTCATTATAAATATTGTCAATTAACGTTAAATAGTTCTATATCTTCTTTGTTAAAAACAAGTAATTCAATTTAAAAAAAATGGCCAAAGATTTTATTTACATTGTTGAAGCCGAGCGTCCAACTGCTATTGCAACCATAGAAGCGATGGTAAAAACAGGTTCAACGCACTCAAATAGACGTCTTCAAATTACAGCGGCGGTCACTTCAAAGGCTACGCCAGAGACGCACGCGAAACTTGTTTCTCTGGGATGCAACGTAGTAGAATTTGACGAAACAGTTCCCGCACAGATTCCTATCGGAGAAGTACACAAAATGATGATTGTTCTCTCACCGGAACGTCTTGATGCCGGTGTCGCTTATATTGAGGCGGCGAAACGCGCAAATGTTCCTTTTGTATTGTTGCAGTCGGTGCTATTGGCCGATGTACGACAAGATTACGTGGGAAAACAATTTGCGGAAGCTGAGAAAAGACTTCAAAGTTTGTTTGGTAAAAAGGAATGTGAACCACAACATGAAAAACATCAGGAACCTACCAATATCAAAGCAAGGGATAATATTTCTCAGGAAGAATGTATCAGTGAATTAAGAAAACACCATCAATGTTCTCATTGGTCTGTTTTACGTGTTGGTATCTATGACCATTATTTGTTGGCACTCAAAGATTGTATTCGTAAGGGTGTTTTGGATTTGCCAATTGGTAATGGAAAGGTAGTAAATTTATTTGCTTATTTTATTTCGATATATGGTAATTGTCCAAAAAATATTAATTATTATTATCTACTACATGTAGTTTGCTCCTGTCGCTGTAGAAGATGTAAGTACGAAATATTATCGTAATATATATATGGGGTCATACCTCTATATGCGGACATTCAAAAACTATATAGAGGTATCATGTGATATGTTAATAATAATTTCATTGTTAGGTCGGCAAAGCGGCAGCTCACATTCTCGATAAATCCGAAAATCACAGTGAGCATATTTACAACATTACCGGGCCAGAGCTCGTAAATGGCGAGATCCTCGCCAAAGGACTAACCGATACTCTTCACCACCAGCTCACCTATAAGCCGACCGAAGACAAAAATCACATCGCTCAAGAACACATTAAGAAGAACATCACATCGACAACTGAGCAAGACAACGTCCTCGAATTGTATGAACTGGTCAAACAAGGCAAGTTGGAAATTATTAGTCCTCACTTTACCGAGATTGAGGCTTTTAGGTCGAAAACCCTTGAGCAGTTCTTTTTAGAACATAAGGAGGAATTGATTGGTGCTTAATTAGTATCTCTTCGTTATTACATGTATTATGTATATATATTATTATAGTAAAATGTTGTTAAATACAGAAAAATATAAATAGTGATTGAAAAATGAAACTACTATTTTAACATGAAGAATTACCCTTTTATTCCTTATCGTTATTGAAAAAAAAACATAACGTGTGTATTTTGGCAAAAATGTTCTTAACTCATCAAAAAAAATTACCATAACCCATTGTTATTTTTTCCCTTTTTGGGAATAGAATATATTTTTAAAGAAATCTACATTCATCAGCATATATACATAAAAGATTCAATTCAATTATTGTGCATGAATTGGATCTGGAGGAGTGAATACATAAACAACAACAAAAGACGAAAATTAAATGCTAGTATTCGGAAAAAATCTGTATAAATAAGTGTGATTTTCAGAAGATCTGCGAAAACGAGGCGAAATTTCCTTATCTCACAAAATAATATTTTTTTATATTTCTTGAATTCTTATTAATTAATAATATGAATTTTATTCGCAAAAATTCGACAACTTCAATAAAATCTCAATCATCAATTTCCAGTTCAAATTCCAATTCGTCGCTTTTGTCAAATATCACAAATTCTACTTGTACGACTGTTAATTCACGATCTGAAAATAACAACTATAACCAACACATAAATCGCCCATACCATCCAAACGGGTGTGGATTCACCATTATCTGGGTGGAGAATGAAGACGTGGCTGTTTATATTCATGGAAGGATGCAAAGAGAAATGATGATGATGAATTATGCTAATAATGATGATAATCATAATAATAATCATAATAATATAAATAACAATGCTAGTGGAAACAACGTAACAAGCTCAAGAAGTAATAGAAAGAAGAAACGAGGGGATCTAGTCAGGGTAAGTTGAAAATTGCCTTTATATCAATTCTCGAAATATAACTTATAATTATTATTTTGTAGAAATTGAAGAATACTTTCTCGTCAAGACAATCAATTTTCGAGCCCGAGGCGAATCTTCATAAAGATATGGATTTCTGGTGTCGCGGATGAATTTCAAGCATATATAATTTATTATTCTATACAATTTATATTTATATTATACTATATCATATCTGTCCGATTTTCATATGTATATTTTAATCATAACATTATTGAGAAAATTCTTTAATCTTTTGTATATTAGTATTGGCTTTAAGATGTAATATTCGGCAAAAAATTTATTTATAATCTAATGGATGTTATTATAATAAATATTAAGTATCAAAGTTTGATGTAACAAACCAATAACTTATATTTCAAAAATGAACTTTCAGTTAAGGATTCTTGTTAAAACTATTTCAAAATGCTGAAATTCAAGGAATTTTTCAGATTACATATTAATAGTTTATTATAATTTTGATTTTGATTATTAATTATCAAACTTCATGAATTTGGCTAAAAGAATTTGATGATGATAAATATTTATTTGCATTTTTTTGCATTCTTTATATTGGAGTAAATATAGTTGTATTTATTGACTGAAGCTGAAATTAATTCACATAATCTTTATATAACATTAATAAATTTATTATATATTTATTATTATTATTATTATTTTAACATACTACAGTGTGATCAAAGTTTAATATATAAGAGTTATGCTAAAATACAAATAATTTTAACTATTCAAAGAACTAATTCCTAAAGTATAATATGAATATCCAGAATATAATATCTAGTACTATAAATCAAATTACATGTGAAGATCAAGTCTGTTAGTATGTGCTATTTAAAATAATAATTTAAATATTGGGAAGAGACTAGTCTAGATTCAAGAAATTTCTCTGCAATAGAATCTAAATTCTTGATGTTATAATATGAGACTTTATTATTTCTTCAATATGCTGATCTAGATTATTCTGAAAAAATTAGTATAAAAAAAAAATTAAAAGAAAAAATATTTGGAAAGTATTAAGAAGAAAAAGTAAGAAAGAGAAAATAAGAAAATTTGAGATATACAAAAAAAATAAGTATGTAAAAAGAATTGATATGCCAGGAGTTAATAAAAAGAGATAATCTATAGACTGATATATATATCTAGCTTGAATAAAAATACTGAGATTATGTATCTGGATCTCAATCAGGAATTTTTCTCAGCTTAAAATATAAGAAAAGATAAATAATAAAAATAGAAGAAAAGTTTTCAAGCCAGTTTGATGTGAAATATCATGATAGAAGTGATTAGTTAAGATAAAAAGAAAAGTAAAAATTATAAAAATTTAATTGATTATAATATTGATAGATGGGAGATGTGTATTAGTTACTCAAGTTAGAATTAGTCCATAACTCAACTAATAAAAAGTAAAATAAAATTTTGAATAATTAATTTTCTAGCTGCAAGAAGACTAGTCAAATGTGAGAATGATAGTATATATTATAATCAAAAAAGGATATATATATTTGATATAACAAGAAAAAAATTTTTTTTGTGTGAGAAATGATGTAATTTTATATAAATATTATTGATATAATAATATGATATAATATTTCAAAAAGAAAATAAATAAATGTAAGTCATAATGAAAAAGAGATATGTATATGTAAATAAATAATAATAAGATTAGAAAGATTATTGATAGAATAGCCAAAAGATAAAGATTATATATGAAAAATCTGCAAGAAGCAAAGATAAAAATAAAAGAAAGTTGGGTAAGAAAAGAAAATAAGATGAGTATAATAATTATAAAATAATTTGTGTGGAGCTATAAAAAAAATTCCAGACTTAATCAGACAAGAGTAGTAATTTAATTACTAATTTTAATACTAGCTACCAGAGAATATAAGTATAGATATTTGCAAAAAAGAATTAAAAAAAAAATGAAGTATAATAAGAAAATATTTTATGCTTGACCAGGCAAGAATAGTAATTTAACTATTAATATTGTAATTAATTATTTATTCATATGGTGTAATAGATGTGACACAGTATATGATATAGTTACAGCACATGACACAGTAATTACTGATCACTACCAAATCAGATGAATAAGTAATTTTATTAATTAATCTTATTTATAATTAATTCTATTTTTAATTTATATTATTACCTATATTTAGTCTTATTCTTTTA